AAAGTACTTGTCCTCATACACCACAACAGAATGGGGTTGCTGAGAGGAAGAATAGGCACACATTGGAGGTGGCCAAAAGCATCATGTTTAACTCCAATGTGCCTATTCGTTTATGGGGAGATGCTATTCTTACAACAGTGTGTCTCATTAACCGAGTTCCTTCATGGGTTCTTGACATGAAGCCTCCATTTACCCTCCTATACCTTGATGAAGACTTGTTTATTGTTCCCCTTAAAACCTTTGGTTGTACTTGCTTTGTTCAGATTCTTGGACCTCATCGTTCCAAATTTGATCCTAAGGCCTCCAAATGTATCAAACTCAAAAGGGATATTGCTGCTATGAACCCACTTTTGGGAAAAGATTTGTCTCTATGGGTGTTACTTTATTCGCGGATGTACCCTATTATCCTAGGGTTTCTCCTCAGGGGGAGAGTAGTGAGTGTGGGATTAAATCATCAGAAGTTCCTTTACTTGTTCCATTGAGTGATGAGGGATGTAATGGGGAGGGGTGTAAGAGGTGCCGGGATTTGAGAGTTTATCACAGGCGGTGGAGGCAGGTTGATTTCAGTCATTAGCAGTCCAGGCCAGCCCCAGTTCCTTCTGTGGATCCAGATCTAGGTACTACAGTTCCTTTATCGGATCCGGGTTCCACTGAGATACCTTCCACTGTTGAGCCCTTACCTCCTTTGGATGACCTTGACCTCTCCATTGCAGTCCGTAAAGGCAAACGACATTGCACCACATCCACAACCCACTACATTTCCCAATTCTTGTCCTATGATCACTTGTCCCCCTCTTACAGGTCCTTCCTCACATCTATTGCTGATATTCCTATCCCCAGAACAATGCAAGAGGCCTTGTCAGTTCCTAAGTGAAAAGATGCAATGAAGATTGAAATGGATGCTCTTCTGAGGAATAATACTTGAGAGATAGTTGACCAGCCTGAAGGGAAGAAACCGGTTGGATGTAGATGGGTATTTACTGTGAAACATAATGCTGATGGTTCCATTGAAAGGTATAAGGCTCGGTTAGTTGCAAAGGGATTTACTCAGACTTATGGTATAGACTACTTGGAGACTTGCTCCAGTAGAAAAGATGACCACTATTAGAGTTTTATTGTCCCTTGTAGCCAGTTACTCTTGGCCCTTGTTCCAGATGGATGTCAAAAATTCCTTCCTCAATGGAGACTTGCAGGAAGAAGTTTATATGCAGTTGCCTCCTGGATTTTATGATGCAGACATAGGAAATAAGGTTTGCCGGTTGAATAAAGCTTTGTATGGACTAAAACAGCCCCCTAGAGCTTGGTTTGATAGATTCAAACAAACCCTTGAAAGGTTCGGCTATGTACAGGCCCAGTCAAACCATACATTGTTCATTAAGAGAGTGAACATACATGGATGATATTGTGGTGACGGGGAATGATAATGATGAGATTGAGTCTCTCAAACAACTCCATCAAGAATTTGAGGTGAAAGATCTGGGAGAGCTACGATACTTCTTGGGTATTGAGGTAGCTAGATCTAAACATGRGATTTTTGTTTCCCAAAGAAAGTATGTTCTAGATTTGTTGGAAGAAACTGGAAAGTTAGGTGTTAAGCCTGCAGATACACCTATTGAATAGAATCACAAGATCAGTGCAGAGGGTGGAGAGCCACTTGAAGATAAAGCTATGTTCCAGCGGTTAGTTAGAAAACTCCTCTATCTTTGTCTCACATGACTGGACATTAGTTATGCGGTCAGCGTTGTCAGTCAGTATATGCACTCTCCTAGGACTACTCACTTACTTGCAGTTGCGAGGATATTAGCATATTTGAAGAGGTGCCCAGGTAGAGGTATACTATTCAAGAATGATAATCACATGAAGATAGAGGTTTATACAAATGCTGATTGGGTTGGGAGTATTGATGATAGAAGGTCTACCTTTGGATATTGTGCTTTTGTAGGAGGTAACCTGGTCTCCTGGAGGAGTAATAAGCAAAGTGTTGTTTCTCGTTCTAGTGCAGAATCTGAATACAGGTCCATGGCTAATGGTGTGGCTGAAATCCTATGGTTGAAATCACTATTTGAGGAGTTGGGTATTGCTTATGAGAAGCCCTTAATTCTGTATTGTGATAATCAGGCTGCTATTAATATAGCTCATAATCCGGTACAACATGACAGAACTAAGCATATTGAAGTAGACCGACATTTTGTCAGAGAAAGGGTTTCATCTTAAGAAGTGTGTCTTTCGTATATCACCTCCAACATGCAGCTTGCAGATCTTCTCACCAAGGTTGTTCCAAGGAAGAAGTTAGAGGCAGATCTATGCAAGTTGGGAATAACAAATATCTATTCCCAACTTGAGGGGGAGTGTARAGAACACTGATGTGGACCCCACTGATGTGGTCCCCACAGTGTTCGTATGGAAGCAATATTTCTGTTAGATATGACAATGTTAGTTGGTAGTTATTTCAGCTTTATTATTAGTTATTTCTATTCTATGTGCCATGTAAGCAATAAGGGCAATTCAGCCCTTTTACAGTTGGCCAATAGTTATATAAATACTAAGAGAGGGTCGGCAGAAATTATGACCTACTCTCTCTCTTTTCTGAAACTCTCTTCGTGTACTTCTTTTCTTCTTCTCTTCAATTTTTCATCCTTTTTCTTTTTAATTCAAGACTGATTGTATATAATGTCCTATTTTCATAAGACAACAATACTTATACCATACAACTGTGATGAGTGAATCTCCTTTGGGCTGGGGCTACTCTATTAAATAAGTGTTTAGTTATTGAATTATACAGGTATTAAATTAGAATTATTAATTAACTGCCATTTCTAAATAGTGCAGCTAAGATCATTATTCAGTTCCCAATTATAACCTTTTTTGTATGAAAATGTCTAACACCTTCAACTTTGTTTGCCTAACTAATCTGTTTAGTCCCTGGTTATACAAACCACACAAGAATAAAGTTGTGGCAAAAGAATGAATATTTTGTTCATCTATATGAGGTATTATTTTAGAACTTGAGTGAAGATGGCATTTAAACTTCATAATATATTATTAAAAGGTATAGATGGCTAAGATTGTGTATTTAATTGGTCTGCTGTCTAAGGTGACATATTGTAAAGAGCTGCATATTTTTTCTGTAAATCTCTTTCATTTCTTATACCAAGCAGTTGCATTCATATACTTGCATATGTGGTCAAAAAAATCAGAAGAAAAAAAGATATAAATATTGTATTGAATATATTCCTAACAAAAAATTTTCAATTTATTGACCAAAAAGAAATGATTGTGTAGAGTCTTCTAGTTCTTGTAGCTACATACATGGTTTCCAATGCATTGCCTAAGGTGATAGTGTTTTGAGGGGTCTAGATAAGCACCATTTTTGTATATTTTACTTATGAAATTTTAGAGGCGTTTATTGTCCTTTTACTTTTTTTTATATATAAATATCAGAATGAGGGCCAACTGCCCTGTTCTTGTCTCAAACAATCTCTTTTTCTCCTACTTTCTCTTCTTTCTATTACTTTTCTTCTTAGAATCAGTTGATCTATAGCACTTATTACTATAGCACCCACTGGAGGAAGTTTTGGTTCTGTTTCTGGTTTCTCCACACTGAACTCTATCTACATCAGCAGGCCATATAAATGATGTCAGCAGGCAACCAGGTCCATCTAGGTCAGAAACTCAAGATCTGTTAAAGTAAGAATATAGAGTTTTTGTCATGCTTGTAGATTAAACCTTGAGCTGAGAACTGTGAGAATGAAGGTCCAGATCTGATGAGATGAGTATGATTTGAAGTATATATATATATATATATATATATGTATATATTAGACCTGTTCATGGGCCGGGCCGGGCCGGGCTCGGGCTGGTCTTTTACTCTTCATTAACAGAAATATGTTAGGCCCAAGCCCGAGCCCGAGCCCGGCCCGACCAACGGGCCTACAACTTGGGCCCGAGCCTGGCCCTAATAAAAAGCCCGAAGCCCGAGCCCGAGCCCGAAGCCCAACCTAATAAAAAAATTAGAAATTTTCCCTATTCAATAATCAATATAAATCAGAATTTATTTACATTAAAAATATATATAAATTCAAAATTTATTTATATTAAAAAAAAGAGTATAAAGAAGGGAAAGAGGATGTATAGAAGAAGAATTTGGTTGGAAAAAGAAGGGAAAGAGGTGAAAAAAAGAGGGGTATTCAACTAGGGTTTTTAGGTTTAGTTATAGGTCGGGCCGGGCCGGGCTATTTTGACAAATCCCAAGCCCGGCTCGAATTTATTGCAGGCCGGGCTTTTTGGCCCGAGGTTAAGCCCACGGGCCCTATATACCTGTTCAAGCCCGTCCGGGGGCCGGGCCAGCACGGCCCGTCGGGCCACCCGGCCCATGAACAGGTCTAATATATATATATATATAGGACTGACTTCCTTTTATATTTCATATATATATATATATAGGACTGACTTCCTTTTATATTTCTTATTTAGGACTGACTTCCTTCTGTTCCCTTTTATATTTCTTATTTCATTCTTTGCCTAATGCATTTTACTTGAGCTCTGCAGAAATGATTTAGTGCATTTACACAAGTAATTGTATTGTTGTTCTAAGATTTTCTTATTTACAATCATAAACAGCCAAACTTGTACACTCTTGTCATCATCCTCAAAGATGCATCTGGTCATCTGGTTGACTGTGAATCTTGCCAAGTAGGCATACGGCAAATATCACAAGCCCCAAAATATCTACTTGTTAATGGGCACCCTATAGTAATATGTGGTGTCAACAGACATGAACATCATCCACGTCTAGGGAAGACCAACATGGAGTCCTGCATGGTTAAGGTGATTATTTTTTCTTTTCCTAGTATTTACCTCTTCAAATTATGTTATTGCATTCCCCAACCTTTACTAATGACAGAAACAGTTACTTTCTGCTCATGCCAAAGTTTTTCTTATTGAAATTTCCTCGTGTCATTGTTTTGTAGGATTTGATCTTGATGAAGCAGAACAATATAAATGCTGTGAGAAACAGTCACTATCCCCAACACCCACGATGGTATGAGTTATGTGATTTGTTTGGTGTCTACATGATAGATGAAGCCAATATTGAGACACATGGTTTTGATCTCTCTGGACATTTAAAGCATCCTACTTCAGAACCAAGTTGGGCTTCTTCTATGCTGGATCGTGTGATTGGCATGGTAGAGAGGGACAAAAATCATGCATGCATCATATCATGGTCCTTGGGAAATGAATCTGGATATGGACCTAATCATTCTGCATTAGCTGGTATGATTTTTCCCTGGTCATCATTGTTTTATGTGTCATCTTTTGATGAAATTATTCCTTTCAGGTTGGATTCGTACAAAGGATCCCTTAAGGGTAATACATTATGAAGGAGGTGGATCCAGAACCTCATCAACAGATATTGTATGCCCCATGTATATGCGTGTTTGGGACATAGTTAAAATTGCAAATGATCCAAATGAAACTCGTCCACTAATTTTGTGCGAGTATGTTCTACTTTCCTCCCTCTAATGTGGTACAGTGATGTTCTCTAATCTTCTTAATAAGACCATTTTCTCCTCTTTCTGATCTTCAAGCTTCATTGCAGGTATTCTCATGCAATGGGAAATAGCAATGGAAATATTCATGAATATTGGGAAGCAATTGATAGCACAATTGGTCTTCAAGGAGGATTTATCTGGGATTGGGTGGATCAAGTGAGTAAAAGCTCCCAGATCATTATATGGTTGATGATCAATATCATATCTCACCAGACCTCATTTGCACAATTTTGAGCTTCAATCTTGTCTATCCTTTGCAGGAAGATGTATTCCAAATTAATATAGGCATCCATATCATAATTACTGTACCATGTTTTTTTTTTTTCTTTTTGTTTTGCATAGGTCTAAACAAATTTACACAAGAAATAAATTACAGTCTTAATGGTCCATGGTGGAGAATATTTCCTTGTTGCTGGATTATGTGAGAGTTTTGTTTTATTCAATTTGTTTTTTATTTGATAATCAAGAAGGTTTCCTTCAGATCTATGAAATAATATTTTATCTGCTTTGATTACTAATGGCCTAATACTACTTATTGTATAATCAGTGTTGAACACCTTGTAATTTTAACCATGGTTCAATAGAGATATTATATTGGTTGTATCCATTGCTTTGAGACACTGCAGTCACTAATACCTTATAGTTGAACAACTCCCTGAAATATATTGCAGAATTTTTGTGACATGGAGTTTTGAGGAGCTTTCTTTTTGTAATTGTATGCAGGGACTGCTGAAGGATGGTGCAAATGGTAGTAAGCACTGGGCATATGGAGGTGACTTTGGGGATACTCCTAATGATCTAAACTTCTGCTTGAATGGTCTTACATGGCCAGATCGAACTCCTCACCCTGCATTAAATGGTGACTTCAACGTTACTTATATTTCTTGTAACAATTTGTAATATGTAAAAACGTAACCATGTGCCAAGTAATTTTATATTTAAGTTATCTCTTTAGTTATGGTTTTCCCAATAACAGTGTCAATGATTTGTGGTTTTCAGAGGTCAAATATGTATATCAACCAATAAAGGTTTCATTCAGGGAAGGAGTAATTAAGGTACTCATTTCATACAAAACTATAAGACTTTCCTGACATATTTCACACTACTAGAAAACTTCTTAATTTATCTGTGTAGTATGACAATTAGATTGCTCATTTTTGTAGGTGGCAAATAAATACTTTTTTGAAACAACAGAAGCACTAGAATTTATCTGGGTCGTTCATGGGGATGGATGTAGCCTTGGATCAGGGGTACTCTTTCTCCCACCAATAGAACCCCAGAATGCTTATGACATAGAATGGGAATCAGCTCCATGGTATTCTGTATGGGCATCTTCTTCTGCAGCAGAAATTTTCTTGACAATAACCACAAAACTTTTGAATTCCACACGCTGGGTTGAGGCAGGTCATATTCTTGCCTCCACACAAGTCAAACTACCTGCCAAAAGAGAATGTATTCCTCATGTATGTGCTGTTCTGGTACCCTAGTTCCCAAAGTATACATGTGTGCATCAATCACATTTTTGGATCTTTTACTGTATTATGAATGGATATGCAGGTTATTAAAACCACAGCTACTACTTTACTTGTGGAAAATCTTGGTGGTATTATCAAAATCACAAGAGAGCATTTTTGGGAGATAAAAATGAATGCTCAAAAAGGAATAATTGAGAGCTGGAAGGTAGTGTCTAGTACTAATCTTTTTCAAGCCTTTTTGTCCTATTCATTGACATGCACAAAGCTTTAGAAAATGTAACGCACTGGTCTTACTTACCTTTGAGGCCTTTTTTCCCGTTGTTATTGAACTTGTTATAATCTTCGCAGACTACACAATGAAAAAAATACTAAAAACTCTCCTGTTGGCACCACTTAATTCTTGTTTTTATTTCTTATTTCTGATAGAGAAAATTGTGGTCCTCTACATATGGAACCATACTTGAATGGCTACAAGCCATCCATTTCTAATCATCTGGTGATAAATGACAGGTTGGAGGAGTTTCAATCATGAATAGCGGTATCATCCCATGCTTATGGCGAGCACCTACAGACAATGATAGAGGAGGTGGCCCAAATAGCTATGCCTCCAAGTGGAAAGATGCAGGCCTTGATAACTTGGTCTTTCATACTGAAAGCTGCTGCATAAAGAATATGACTGATGTCATGGTGCAAATTAATGTTGTTTATCTTGGTGTCCAGAAGGATGAGCAAAATACCCTTTTAGAAGCCAGAACATCCAATGTTATGTCGAAGGTTGATGTGAATTATAAGATCTATGGATCTGGAGATGTGATTATGGAATGCAATGTACAACTAAGCACTGATCTTCCACCTTTGCCACGTGTCGGTGTTGAATTCCAAGTAGACAAATCACTGGATCAGATCACATGGTATGGAAGAGGGCCATTTGAATGTTATCCAGATAGAAAAGAAGCTGCCCATGTAGGAATATATCAACAGAATGTGAATGACATGCATGTGCCATACATTGTTCCCGGGGAATGTTCTGGTAGAGCAGACGTCAGATGGGTAGTATTACAAAACAAAGATGGTCATGGAATTTTTGCTTCCATGTATGGAAGCTCTCCACCTATGCAAATAAGTGCAAGTTACTACAGCACTGCAGAGCTTGACAGGGCAACACACAATGAAGAACTAGTAAAGGGAAATGACATTGAGGTACCTTTTCATTTTCTTTTCTTTCTAGTGTGAATTTACAACAATGGTTAGCATATATTGAAATTTTTGTTCCAGTGGACACAGTACTGAGCATATATTCTAGTTCGGAAGTGTACCATAAAGAGTATAAATGCTTTGTTTGCGTGTTCCTTTTGATTGGTTTAGCATTTTGGTTTTACAGGTACATCTTGACCACAAGCACATGGGTTTGGGTGGGGATGATAGTTGGTCACCATGCGTCCATGACAAGTATCTAATTCCTCCAGTGCCCTACTCCTTTACACTGCGCCTGTGCCCGGTTGATGCAGCTACCTCTTGTCATGACATATACAGATCCCAGCTTCCAAACTAGGGGTTTCAACATTCATCGTTCATGACATCTATGAGATACCTGGCTATCTGATGCTTTTGAATGGCAAAAATAAATCAGTCTTGTCATTTTGTGAACAAGCGTTCTTCCTTGAGCAGCTTGTATTAGGGAAGTTGAGAGCAAACTTGACGTAAATATCAATGAATAGAGTTACTTTGGCTGCATGAGATCTTCGTTCTGTAAATTTGATGGAAGTTTGTTTGTCACAATGTTGTTAAAACCAAAACCGGGAAATGGAACTGCTTTTTGGCTTGGGTGGTAGATAAGCAGTTCAACCATCCAGGTCAAATGAGCCAACCCATAACATCATAAATTAAATAATGAAAATATAAAATTATAGGTAATCTCTAATATTATATAATTATTATATTAAATAAAAAGAAATTTTATTTTATATGGTTAGTCACCGTTTTTTAGGTTACCGAAAACCAAACTAGTTCTTGAGTTTTTCAAAAATATCAGACCGAAACCAAACCAAAATCGAATTGATTGATTCGGTTAATTACATTTTTTGTTTGGCTTGGTTTTTCTATTTTTCATAAGCACACCCCTGGGGGACTCCCATACTTGGCTTCCCCTTGGTTGTTGGAGGAGTTGGTGATACTTTGGAGGTAGTGATACTTATCCCCCAAACTTTCATTTGCACAAAGAATCTTTCTGATTCCACATTCCAGCACTTCACACATTTCACCCCTTCCCTGCCCATAAGCATTCCATCAATTAACTTAAAAAAAAAAGATTCTAATGCAACTGTCAATGGGTTTCAAATCTCGGCTCATAACATCTCACAGCATATCCCTGCCGTGTATTGAGAACATCTGATGATAATACCAGAACTAATGATATCATCATTGGAAGATGTTCTCAATACTTGACGGGGATGCACTGTGGGACATTGTGAGGCGGAGATGTGAACTCACTGTCATGTGCTTGTTTAAACGTTTTTAAAGATGCAATGTAAACCCTTCAAATTAAGCGCTCAACTTACAACCCTTGTTGCAAATGAAAGTATGGAGGACTAAATATCACTACCCACAAAATGCAAGTTTCGGACTGGACATATTTATAATAATAATTTTTAATCTTAATCTGCTTTTAATTGAGTGGGACAAGATTCGTTGAATGGAGAACAAGGTATTGTCTTTCCAAACAACTATCTCGAAAGTTCTTTCTTGGCTTCATGAGCTGAACATCCCAAACCCAGGCCGACTTTCTACAGAAAGAGAAAAACCAATTCTTGCTCTTTTTAATGTCTCCATTGCTAATAGTCCTCGTCCCGAGCTGAGAGCGATCAAACGGGAGCATCCCCTGCAGGTAAAATTAAAATTAACGTGGAGATGCTTGCTCAGGTAAAACTGGAAAATCAAGAGGTGGTGGTGTTTTTCGAAATAAGCATGGTGCTGTGTTTTTTGCTTTTACATCCTATTACAATTTAGGATCAAACATAACTGCTAAATGTCGAATCATTTTAGATGCTATTAATCATGCTAAAGAACTCGAGCTTGACTCGGCGATTCTTGAAAGTGATTCCAAGTTGCCAGTGAACATCATACAAAGTAAAACCCATGGTCCAAGGGATCTGCTCTGCTGGATTGATGAAATTATGGACATGATTGATCAGATTAATTACTTCCACATTCATCATACTCTTAGAGAAGGGAATTCGGTAGCAGACTCTCTTGCTAAGCTTGTAGTGATGGAGGAAACAAGTTTTGTCTTTAATCATATTTCTTGTATTCTACTTAATAGGGCTGTTCATAAGAAGACCCAACCCGATCAAACCGATCAATCCGGACCAATCCAATTCGAATCGGCCAGGTTTTCTTCAGCACCAGTCGGTTTCGGGTTGTAAAAAATCATAAACCGATGGTTCGGGTCGGTTTCATACTAATTAATTCCTAATTAGTATTTACAACCTACTTAGTTCCTACTTAACTAAGTTGTCTCTATCCTACTTACAACCTAACTTAATTTCTAGTCTTCTAGTTATGAATGACATTAATGGAAAGTATTGTAAAACAACTAGACAAGGAATTTTTTTGGAAAAGTTTAAAAAAAATTAATCAAAGGGTTCTATTTTTTATGGTCTTTTACACCAAATAGGCAACTAATTACAATTAGAATTAGGTGTCCTTTTTTACTTAGATTATAAGGTTTCTTGAAATATACAAATTTCAGTCTTCTTTCTCTAATATAGTTTGACTTTCTATTTTCTTGATAATTTCTATAATTCTATTCTAACTTGGTCTGCCCCTACCAATTTAAGTCTTCTTTCTCTAATAGAATTAGGTGTCATTTTTTACATCAAATTTCAGTGTTCTTTCTCCAATCTACCAATTTATTACTATGGTTGAACTTAGAGCCGAAACCGACCCAACCCGACTCAAACCGACCAGGTCGGTTTTGCTTAACACAGGATCAGTTTCATTTCAATTTCAGGTAACCCGACCAGATCGGGTCAGTTGAAAAAATCTTAGTAAACCAACCCAATCCGACTCATGAACAGCCCTACCACGTAATGTTTGAGCTTTCATTTTTTATGATTTATTGTACATTCCAAAGCTTAGAATAGGATAGAAGGCTTAGGGGTGAGTGTCAGGGAGCGATTTGTATCCTGGGCTTGGGGCAAAGCAGGCTATGTCCTTCCCTATATCTCTTTTATTTAGTAGATTTTTAATAAAATTTTAGGTGGCCGCCCCTCCACTTGGAGTAAAGTTTGGGGTTTAAAAAAAATCTAGTGGAATGAGATTATATTAGCATCTGATCTAGTTATTAATCGAATACAAATTTAACATTGACAATCAGATGTTGCATGGGATTTGGATTTGACATCACAAGAATTTACCATTACACCAAGTAATGGCCCTTACAAAGTCTCTATGGGATTCCTTTTGAAATCGCTAATGTTGTTCGAACCGATGACACAATCAGATAATCTTGCTAACTGGACGAAGTCACGCACTGAGATTAGCTACCAGGAGAAAGGTTAGAAGCTCGAGAAGTTAATACCCTGGTAAGTATTCTGATGCTCAAGTCAGTTGAGCAGAGGAAGAGGTGGCCGGGCCAAGCAGGTTAGAGTAATGCTGGTCTAGGCCGAAGAGATAGTGCGAAAAGGTATTCAAAGAATGTCATTCCAAAAGTCCCTTATCTCGAGCGAGGAATACCTATTTATAGTTGGGTGTTTGTGTTCCAGATGGATAAGTGTAACTTGTAGGGTATGAAGCTTCAATTATTAAGATAAAGATTAAAGATGTGGTTGCAAAGATGACAAATCAAGACGTTGATACAGATTTTGTCATCAAGCTGGGGTCCATCAACCCATTCTACAGGCAAACAACGTCCTCCCGAATACATGGGCCCTGCCTTAGATTCTTCTTTTATTTACCCTAATTTTCGTCTCATCCACATTTCCATTACTCCCTTTAATGCTATCCTATAGACTTGCTTTTTATTAAAACACCCCTATAACTTACAAACAAATTTACTTAATCGAGCTTTTGTTAATAACCATTTGTATTGCCATCTGAAAATAATAATGTATTAATGTGATCATCTAAATCTAGTGGAAAAATGATTAAAGACACGGGTATATAATATAGCTGTTTAGTTTGAAAATACCCCTGCCACTTCATATCAAGGTCTATCAAACAATGTTTTGTTTTAGGCTGCATTTGGTATTTTTTATTTTAAGGATTTTTTTTTTTGCAGTTAAAATGCCTCTATAAAACTGAATTTTTAATAAAAAAAAAAAAGATAAATCCTTAAAATAAGGAATGCCAAATGCAGCCTTAGCAGGATAAAGAAGAAGAGGGAACAATAACTTCTGGATTCTTTGTCTACAACAATACATCTTCCTTCTTTGAACATAGAACAAAATTTGAACAGAATGCTTGCCTACATTTTACTTTCTTTTAATTTAATCTGTTCAAATAGATATTACTATACTAGGGACAAAATTGTCATTCCACTTCTGTCTTGTAAAAGGTATTAACGAAATGTGTCATTTACTAGAACATCCCTTATAGTTTCATGTATTTACTTAAACCTACCTTATAGTTTTTATTTTATTAAAACACCCCTTATACTTTGCAACCTATTTACTTAATCTACCTTTCATTAAGGAGTGTTTTTGTCATTGGGCCCTGATTGTTTATTCCAAAAATACCCTTAATACTTTTTTGTACATAAAGCAAAATTGACCAAATATAACCAATAGTGGTTGGCCATGTCTTATTAGGGGCAAATATGGTGCTTTCATTTTTATTTATAAAAATTGTCATTTTTCCACTATCATCTAATGGAAAATCAATTAAGTAAATCCATTGCAAACTATAAAGGGTGTTTTAATAAAATGCAAAGTATAGTTAAATTTAGTAAATCTATAAAATATAGGGGGTGTTTTAATAAATAACCCTAAAAAATTGGTAACAAACTATAGGGGTGATTTAGTAAAACACGAACTATAGTATACCTACGGTTCAAAATATTAATATGCCTGATATGACGGTATAGGCGTGTTGGACAGTATTGATGGCCTTTTTTTTAGTTTTTTTTTTTCAAATCCAGTTCAGAGGGGCCGGTTTAAGATCCATCCACTCTCTGAACCGGTCAAAATCCTGAAACACCCCTGAAGGGACGTATCGAAAAGCCCCCGATACGGCCTGATACTTGTCAAAATTTCGGTCTTCAAGTATAGCTTTTAATAAATCTATAAAACCATGGGTCTTAATCGTTGCTCATATATGGCCTTCGTGTGAATACATGAAGGGCCCCATTTTCCAAGAGCCCATATTGCCCACTCCACCTCTCCTCCCGTTTATTAGGAATGAAGTACATCGGCTATAAAAAAAAAAAAAAAAAATACTTTGTCTAATAAAAAAAGACATAAAGGGGAAGCATTTGATTCTCATCCACAAACACTTGTAAAAATAGAAAAAAGTTAATCTCTTTTGGTTTGCAATATGCATTAAATAATTGATTCAGATTATTCTAACTTGTTTGGAACGAGAAACTACGCTTAATCCACATGTTTCGCACGTTAAAAAGTAAAAACACAATTATCTATTCTTTTTTGGGTATTATTATCTATTCTTCTTTAAGTCAACTAGAATTTCTGATCTTGATTTAGCTGATACAGTTTTGGGCTCCTTAAGGCCGGATGTTAG